GATTCCAAGGCGGAGGGGTTATGTAGTGCTCCACAGGGACAAGTATGTCATTAGTAAATACCCATACTTGCTTAAGAATACAATTAACATTTTTTTCACTTCATATATATTTTTAAATAGCTGATAAGTTATTAGAAAATAAAAACTTGATCAATTTGTTTGATGTAACTACCTAATAAGTGAGCTGTTGGGTTTTTTTTTTTTTTTTATGTTGCTTTGTTTGTTTGGCTCAGGGACAGTGTGAAAAAGACACTGAGGTTCTAAGGGTGCTGTGAATTGAGGAAGTTTGGGAACCTCTGGTGTGGTGGTTTGTCTGGGCCCCTTAGAATGATCACTCTGGAGGAAGCCAGCCACCATATAAGCCTTCACTACCCTGAGGCTGCCATGACCTGAGGAAGCTCAGGATAGCTATATGGAAAAGCTGCACAGAGAGAGAGAGACCCAAGAAAACTTTACTTACCCCAGTCATCTTTGCCAAGTACAAGAATAGAGAAAGTTCAACTGCTTCCAGCTTTACTTACCATCTGACTGTGACCTCGCAAGAGGTCCACACCATGACCCTACCCAGACAAAACCATCAACTCCCAGAACTGTGAGAATTAACCATCCAATATAGCTATATTGGATCCCTATTTTTAAAAAATAGTTTTGTGAGATGAAATTGATCACTGAAACAGAATTTTGGTTTCTAAAGTGAGATGCTGGTATACAGCACAAACTTAATGCATGTGGGATGGATATAGCAATGAGTGGAGGTTAGAATGCCCTCAGGGATTCTGTTAGTGAAATCTAAACAGGCCGCAAAGAATCTGTCGGTGATAGTTTGAAAGACAGAGAGGATGATGTTGCTGGAGGATATGCAGGGAACATTTTGATAGCACTATCACCTGTGATAGTGAAGATGAGAAAGAGTACCAAGTAAACTTGTAGACCTGGCCAGAGAGATTTGCAGGAAGAATGTAAAAGATGCCCAATGGCTTCTTCTAGCTGCCTATTATACAATATGAACTACAGAAGGAATAATTTAGTATCCAAGTTGAACTGGAATGTAAATAAATCCTAGATTAATGTATTTAAAAATAAAATTATTTTCTCATATCCAGTCTCTTAGCAAAAGATTTTCAAACTAGAAATGCCTTCAAGGATAAAAAGATAAAATCCAGGGCATTATGACTATCATGTGGTTTCAGAGTAAAAGTCTCAGAGCTTTAAGATCTTTTACTTAGAACTCATAAATAGTTAAGGACAGGTCTAGTAGGACTTCTAGAAAAATATTAAGTCTGTACTTCTCAGACTTTCTTTACTAGAAATGAATCTTAAAAGCATACCTTGTATACCTTTTAAACTAGACAAAAGTCATATTAAGAGTCTTAAGGGCATTATTACAAAGTATTCTGACTGTGCAGCCAACGGAGAAAAGAGAAGGGGGCTGTCTCTGAAAGAAAAAATAAGAAAGGACTATTGCTTTTGCCTCAGTGAGTGGATTATAATTTGATATGTAGGATCCCCTCAAACTTTTCCAAAGGAATTCTATCAGCTGAACTCAAAGGAAAAGAGACAGTGTAAAAAGTTGTCTGAAGTCAAGGAGATGGCTTGGTTTCACACAAGGGCCATTGCTTATGACAAAGAAAATTTAGATGATGCAACCAAGAGCTCAGGGAGAAGAATAAATTATTTTCCGGAAGAGCTAGACTCCAATCAAGAAACCAGAACTATGTACCCAGCAGAGTTTCAGAATGGCTGTAAAACCATAACTACAAGGGAGTGCTTATTTCTTCCCCTTTGGAACAATGAGGTATACATCTGTCTCCTGTGCATGGGATGGGTGAGTGGGCAGATGGCTCTTTATTCCACAGGTCTTCTGATAGAGAAAGTGTACTCAAGTTGTAGCTAAGGGGCCAGGTGGTGGCGCAACTAGACATTCATTGGAAAGGTCCTAGGTTTGTGTCCTGGGACCTCCCTTTGCTTGCCTATGATTTGGGGTGGCTGAGGCTGTGAGTAGATCATGGTGTGGAGACTCCACTGGGGGATACTATCTTTTTACTCTCTTTCACATGGGAGAGACACATAAATAACCTTAATTTAAAAAATCCTGTACTCAAGGATTCATATCAAAGGACGCTCATTTGTACCTGGACCAAAGTTAGATATAAGACTTGGACTTGCACTAGCCCCATAACCTAGAGGCTAAGTGAGCTGGAGCCCACATGACCAACCATGGGTTGAATCTCAGCCCCTCTGGCTTGAAAAACACATGAATCATGTATATATGTTTGCTCCAACTCTTGACAGGATGACGTGGAGAAGGGACTGCAGCATGACCTCATTCCATTAGGGGTGCTTTCTCCCTCTCCTCTCTCTCTCTTTTTCTTTCTGGTGAGCACATCTGCCTCTGGAAATTATAAAAAAAAAATCTTATATTTTGAACCATTACTGTAGTTAGATGAAATTGTATTGGCCTTGGGAGAAGGTGAATACATTTTGCCTTCATTCTTTCCTTCCTTTCCTATATGCATTGCCCTGGAGCCTGTTTCTATCCTTCCTTTGAGTTTGTGTTGGCCTTTCCCTTGAGTTTGTGATAGCCTTACTAACTTACTTCACCAGAATATGGTGACAGTGACAGTCCAGGGCTCCTTAGGTCTTAAGACTTGCAACTTATGTTCAAGTCTCTTAGAAGACTTGGAATTTATGAAAGAATTAAATTACTGCAAAAGAAATTTGATTACCCTAAGTCTTCCAGGCTGCAAAGATGCAAAGGCCAGCCACATGAAGAGGCCAGATGAAGAGAGAGAGAAAGGCTTAACTTACTCCCAGCATTCCCAGCCATCCCAGACATGTGATTCCACAAAAGACATGTGAATGATGTCTCCAAATGACTCCAGCCTTAGTCATCGTAGGTCAGCAACATTATAAGACTTGGACTTGGACAAGTAAGATGTAAAAGCTGAACTCATCAACCTTCAAAAGTAGGAGAGACAATAATACATTGTTTTGGGGTACACATTTTTTGGATGCTTTGCTAGACAGTGGCAGATAACACGAACATTGGCTCACTTTATTTTCATATGGATATGTTTATAAGTGTTCCTTTATAAAAACCATGGCAGTTGAATCCATGTTGTTAGACATCTAGGCATAAGGCTAGAATCAATGGATATTTGATTTTCCTATCTTGAAGAGGCAGATTGAGCAGTGGAAAAAGACTATGCTAGTTCTGCTACTAAGTAGCTGTGTCTGTGCAAATCAGCCAAATGCACTGGATCTCAATTTCCTCATTTGTAAAATGGGACTAAATATGTTTTACTTCTTACCACGAAATTATGATAAAGGTTGAAGAAGACAGTGAATGTGAACATTTCTAAGAAGCAATTTAGCATAGCATTAATCAAATGTGAGGAGCATCTGGAGTGAGTCTGTTTGTAGGGAAGACATTTGATCTTGGTGGAATATTCAGTTGGAATGGGAAAGCAGAGTGTTCAGTCAGATCCACAGTCCAAGTTCTGAAAACTTTATCCCAAAGATAAAATTACAAACGTGGGGATCCTTGGTATTGTAGAGCCAGCAAGCCAATAGGATACAGTGGTCAGAGGACAAATCATAGGATAGACGATTGTGTTAGTTCTGTACTTCTGTGTAACAAATTGCCCCAAACGTAATGGCTTACAACAACACAACTTCTTCTTTTTTAAAATTTAAATCTCACCATTTATGTGAGTCAGGAATATAGGAATGACTTCAATGGGTAGTTATGGTTAAGAGCGTCTCCAGGAGGTTTCCATCAAGCCATAGGCTGAGGCTGTGTCATCATCCAGAGGCTTCATGGAGTCAACAGTTCCATTTCCAACATGGCTTTCTCATATAAGCTGTTCATAGGAAGCCTTAGTTTCTCACCCCATGGACCTTTGCTTAATGCTGTGTCAGGAGCCTCTTCACAAGATCCCAACCAGATTCCCCAGAGTGAGAGACCTAAGAGAGAGGAAAGCAGAAACCTCATACCTTGTGTGATTCAGCCTTAGAATTTGCATACCACCATTTCTTCAATGTCCTGTTGGTTTGCACAGAACAGCCCTACTACGTGAGAACTGAGAGGGCTCCACACAGCTGTGAATACTCGGTGGGGGCTCTTTTGGAGGTGGGCGACCGCGAATGCATAGTGTGTACAAAATAAGAAAAGAGGAAGATTTTGAGAAAGAGGGAAAGGGAATGTGATGAATTCAAAAGAACGCCAGCTCCCAGGGAAGCCAGTAGGTAAAATGGCGTCAGGAGAGTGAAGGTGAAGCTAGTAAATGCCACTCCCCTGCACCTTCTGCCTTTCAGCACGAACGTCTCCCTTAGTCGGTTATTCTTGTGACTCACATTCAGTAGGAAGGTGTACATCTGGGAACCGCCTCACCTGCTGTGAACCAATTCTCTCCCCAGCATTCTAACGTCACTACGGAGGCTCGTGAAGCACAGAGCAGGGGTGGAAAAGGGACTCGTGCACACAGCTGGTGAGGGACAGGATGTGGATTCAGACTCGGGCTTGTCTGATGCCAAAGCTCTTGCTTGTTCCACTGTGTTAATTTATGTTCCAGGATGGAGAAAAGAAGTAGAACCCTACCTTTGGGTGCTTTTGCTCCTGTGCTTACTTGCTTCAGTCTCAGGGGCTGGAATTGTCCTGATTCAGTGTGAGACCGGAGCTACCTTGGTCATTCTGGCTGCCTGCAATCACCTTCTTGTATATTTCTACCTCATTGGCTCCCCATCTTCTTTCATATCTCAGCCTCATACTTCTTCATTTATCTCTCCCTCTGTTGTTATTTGTCTCTGTTAACAGGGTCATTTATCCCCATAAAACATCCTGAGAGACAAGGATTGAAGGATGGAGCTGTTAAGTCATGGGGTGCTAAAGACCCTCTGAGGGAAACTGGAGAGGCAGACACCTTTTCATCTGATCTAAGTAAAAGCTGCGTGACATGATAGGAGAGGTGAATTTTAAACTGACTTTTCCATGGGGAAAAAGAGCAAAAAGCTTCGACAGGAAGAAATTCAGAGGAGCAAGCAGGTAATATAAATTTCTACAGTTTTAGTGTGAAATTGAAAATGTTGATTTGTGAATGGCACCATTCCAACTGGCATCCTACCATAGTTATCTCCATTTTGCAGGGAGGAAGAGAAAGAGCAGGTCACAGAAATGTCGGGGTGGTCAGTGAGTCCCAGAACTCCAGGAATCGTCACTCTGGGTGCAGGGATTATCGCCCTAACTTTACTTCTTTATAATAAAGAAGTAAAGGTCCTGATTCAACATACACACCATTTACTTCTGGCCGGCTTGTGTTGGTTTCTTGCCCCCCTTTGTCCTGCAAGTCTGCCTTTCTACTGTTTAGCAGGCTCTGGCCTGCTCAGGGGAGGCAGCACGAGGCTTACACTCCTGAGATGGTGGCTGGTTTCATGTTTGATGTGGTGTCTGGAAAAAATAAGGGAGCTTTAGATATGAGTTGTTGTAAGGGCTTTATTGAGGTGTCAGCATTTCATAGGGTTGTTTATGGCAGTATTAAATGGGTTGACACTCCATAAACTGTCCCAAAGGGCATCTTAGGGGTGGGGAGCAGCAGAAAGATAAAGAAAAACCTATCCCAGACTCCATCTAGCTATCATTTCCCCCAAGTGTTAACCCTCTGAGCTATTCAGGTCCGTTTACTTCTCTTTCACTTTATACCCCAGGGTTTAACTGGGCTGTGAAAGCAATTAAGGTGTATAAATGTGAGAAAGCAGAACACTGGGAGGCTACAAGACCTGCTGAAATGGAACAGGTAGAAGAACACCCTGAGAAACTACCACGTGGTTGCCAAGGGAGGTCAGGTGCTCTCCAGGTGGCGATATTTTAAGGTCATGCAGATCTTGTAAATAGTATGTAACTCTTATGATGAGGAGTCCTGTTTGGGGGTAGAGTACTGGACTGGACTGAGGGTTTGAGGAAGGTGGAGACTCGGGGTCCATTTAGAGGCCTGGGTCCTGCTCTCTCACCTTTTTTGGCAGTGCCATGGTTGATATCCTATCGAAAACCCCCTTTTTCTGTGTGTTTATCCTTCCTTTCCTCAT